CGATTTTTCCAACTTTTCTCAATTCACATGGAGTCATTCATGAAAGTTCTTGCCCTTATACCTCTTAGCAAAATGGCACTGTAGAGAGAAAGCATAGACACATCCTTAATATAGCTAGAGCATTAAAATTTCAATCTCACATACTTACCATTTTTTGGGGAGAATTTATCTTAGCCTCTAGCTATATTCTCAACAGAATTCCTACCCCACTTCTCCAAAACAAATCACCCTTTGAAATATTATATCACAAACCTCCACATATTTCACACTTTCAAGTATTTGGTTGTCTATGGTATGCAAGCTTTTTGCCCAAATTAGACAAATTTTCTCCAAGAGCTGTTCCATGTATTTTCCTAGGATACCCTCGATTCCAAAAGGGTTATAAGGTGTTTGATCTTCATTCTAAAAAAGTTTTTGTTAGTAGAGATGTCACCTTTCATGAAAATGTTTTTCCATTTGCTGGTCCTGCATTTATTTCTCATTCCTTAAAAATGGTTCCTGATAATGGATGTTTATATAATGAATCAAATGTTTTTGGTGGTGGCAATCCTATGGAGGCTATCTATCCAATTTCTATTTTAGACACTTCCACTGATTACTCAACAGTAGATCCTTCCAATGCTTCTTTATCATCTTTAGGTATTGATTCTTTACCTTCTCCTAATTCTATTTCACAACCTGACCAAAATCTGCTTCGCAGATCTACTAGAATATCTAAACCTCCCATTTTGCAAAAAGATTATGTTTTTTCCTCTAAGTCAAAACATCCTATCTCTAATTTTCTTTCCTATACAAACCTATCTCATGGTTATCAATGTCTTCTTTCTGCCATCTCCAATATGTCTGAACCCAGCACATTCAAAGAAGCCATTCAGGACTCAAATTGGAGGCAAGCTATGGCCATAGAAATCCAAGCTTTAGAATCTAATGGAAAATGGAAATTAGTTTCTCTTCCACCTGGCAAGAAAGCAATTGCTTGTAAAAGGGTCTATAAAGTCAAATTGAAAGCTGATGGCAACCTAGAAAGATATAAGGCTCGCTTAGTGGCAAAGGGATATACTCAACAGGAGGGTGTTGACTACACAGAAACTTTTTCACCGGTGGCTAAAATGGTTACTATTCGAACCATTTTAGCTTTAGCTGCGATGAATGATTGGGGCATTTATCAAATGGATGTGTATAATGCTTTTCTTCGAGGAGATTTAAATGAAGAAATATGCATGCAAGTTCCTCCAGCCCTAGCTAATGAATCTAAACTGAAACATAAGGTTTGTAAGCTACTGAAGTCTTTATATGGGTTGAAGCAGGCTTCTAGACAATGGCATCATAAATTTACCACTGCCTTATTAGATAATGGGTTTGTCCAATCAAATAATGACTATGCTCTATTCACCAAAATCTCAGGAGATAGTATGGTTATTTTGTTGGTATATTTTGATAACAAGAAATAGTTTTGCTGCCATTCAACAGGTGAAGCAATCTCTCAATGACAAGTTCAAGATTAAGGATTTAGGTCAGTTGCGATATTTTCTTGGGATGGAAATTAGTAGATCCAAACATGGTCTGGTCATGAATCAGCGTAAATATGCTCTAGAAATTCTTTCAAAAACTGGTCAGACAGGGTCTTAACCTGCAGACACATCATATGAGCAACATCTCAAGCTAACTTCTCATGAACTTGACAAGCTTGTTGGCACCGCTATAGCTGATCCACTTCTCGAAAGTGCTTCCTCTTATCAAAGATTAATAGGTAAACTTATTTACCTATGCATGACTCGACCAAAACTTTCTTATTTTGTTCAACATTTGAGTCAATATATGCATTCTCCTAAGAAATCTCATCTGGAAGCTGCTTATAGAGTGCTAAGGTATCTCAAACAAAGCCTTGGTACTGGTATTTTTTTCCCTTCTAAGAAGAAATATAATATAGAAGCTTATTGTGATGCTGACTGGGCTGCTTGCGCTTCAACCATAAGATCTTTAACTGGTTACTGTATTAAATATGGGGACTCCTTGATCTCCTGGAAAACCAAAAAACAATCTACTGTTTCCAGATCATCTTCTGAAGCTGAATATCGATCCATGGCCTCAACCTATTGTGAGATTATTTGGCTCCAAAATCTTCTTCTTGATTTGGGTATCAAACTTCTAGATCTAGCTCTCTTGCACTGTGACAACAAAGTTGCCCTACACACTGCTGCTAATCTCGTATATCATGAACAGACTAAACATGTGGAGATTTGTCATTTGATCCGATAGAAAATTGCTAGCAACTTGATTCGCACTGCTCACATCTCCACCACTAAGCAGCCCGTTGATTTGTTGACTAGAGGGCTCTGCAAGAAACAGCATCAACTCTTAATGGCCAAGCTTGGCATGCTTGATATTCATCAACCGTTACCAAGCTTGAGAGGGGATATTGGATGATGTAAATGAATTGTAAATAATAGAAGCAGGTTTGTAAATAATAAAAGCAAGTTTATGAATTGTAAATAACAGAAGCAAGTTTATAAATAGGAAGTCCAGGTGTTTTAATGTAATTGGTCATAGTGATGAGTTATTTAAAAGAAAGAAATTATTGTAAAAGAAACAGAATTGATTGATTGAACTTCTTCTTCCCTGACTCTACTTTAATCTCTCTGAAACCTACATAGTTTGTAACATATAAATCTCTTAGGTCTAAGGACAATTAGAGAATTGTAGCAAAATTACCCTTTCATATAGTTAGTAACAATTACTTTATAGGGTATATTTTATTGGATCTTGTTCAGTATATATACGTTATATTGCACCCATTTGTTTGCTTTAGGTCACTACCTCAATGATGGAGTAAGTCATTCTATTATATAGCAGCACAACTAACTGTAGGCATAATAACTATATAATATAATTTAAAGGATAAATGTCTAGAACAAATTTACGATACAAGGTACTAAAGATTATTACTTCCTGCCGAGGTTCATTAACCACTGGCATGATCGATTACAATGTTCCTAAATGACTTCTACTATATCTCGTATAATAATCAAATAATAAACAATCATAAATAACGTATATGAAATTAATTAAATAAATCTAGCATTGGTTTTTGAGAGCACCTAATTCTAATATAAAAGGGTTGTGTTTGGTAAAGTGTTTAGAATAGTATTTTTGAAAAAATTGATTTGAGTTGTTATTACGAGAATATAATTTAAATTTGAAAATGTGTTTGGTAAATTTTTGAAAAATATTTTTTGAAAATATTTAGATTACTTTTAATCTCCTACATTTATTAATTTAGCTAAACACCCCTTACAATAAAAGTTTTAAAATTAACAAAAACATCCCTACCACCCATTAAATCTAGCATTGGTTTTTGAGAGCACATAATTCTAGCATAAAAAAGTAAGGTTGTGTTTGATAGAGTATTTTTGAAAAAGTTGAGTTAGGTTGTTATTACGAGAGTAAGATTTGAATTTGAAAAATGTGTTTGGTAAATTTTTAGAAAATATTTTCCGAAAATATTTAGATTATTTTAATCCCCTGTATTTATTAATTTAGCTAAACACCCCTTACAATAAAAGTTTTAAAATTAATAAAAACACCCCTCCCACCCATTAAATCTAGCATTGGTTTTTGAGAGCACGTAATTCTAACATAAAAGATTAATGTTGTGTTTGGTAGAGTATTTAGAATAGTATTTTTGAAAACATTGAATTGAGTTGTTATTACGAGAATAAAATTTGAATTTAAAAATGTGTTTGGTAAATTTTTGGAAAACATTTTCTGAAAATATTTAGATTATTGTTACTCCCCTACATTTATTAATTTAGCTAAACACCCCTCACAATAAAAATTTTAAAATTAACAAAAACACCCCTCCCTAAATTTAGCATTGGTTTTTGAGAGCACGTAGTTCTAACATAAAAGAGTAGGTTGAGTTTGGTAGAATACTTAGAATAGTATTTTTGAAAAAGTTGATTTAAGTCATTATTACGAAAATAGGATTTAAATTTGAAAAAAAAAATTTGGAAAACATTTTCTAAAAATATTTAGATTATTTTGACTCCCCTACATTTATTAATTTAGCTAAATACCCCCTACAATAAAAGTTTCAAAATTAAAAAAAAAACACCCCTCCCACCCATTAAATCTAGCATTGGTTTTTGAGAGCATGTAGTTTAGCATAAAAGAGTAAGGTTGTGTTTGGTAGAGTATCTAGAATAGTATTTTTTAAAAAGTTGAATTTGGTTGTTATTACGAGAATAGGATTTGAATTTAAAAATGTGTTTGGTAAATTTTTGGAAAATATTTTCTAAAAATATTTATATTATTTTTAATCCCCTTTATTTATTAATTTAGCTAAATACCATTTACAATAAAAATTTTAAAATTAATAAAAATACCCCTCCCACCCGTTAAATCTAGCATTGGTTTTTTAGGGCACATAATTGTAACATTAAAGAGTAAGAGACAGCTGACAGAAAAGAGACCAAAAAAAAAAAAAAAACTGCTTTTGGTTCTAACAGCCAAAATAATGATTTTTTTTTTTTTTTTTTTGGAAGACTTTCTCACATTTTACTATATCTTAAAGAGGAAAAAAAAAATAAAAATAAAAAAAAGACCTTACTGATCTAACATATCGATCCATGTATGAATTTAATTTTGTCTCATGCATTGCTTTATAACTTAAAATAATCAAGAAACGAACTTATAAGTCTGCTATTTTCTTTCAAGATTATAAACATCTACATCTGAGCAAATTGAAGAATAATAACATATATACCTATCTATATGATAGTACTTTGACTTGCACAAAATTCCTTGATTAAACCATGTAAAGTAGTAAACATTAATGCAATTGTAAAAATATATAACTTTTACTAATTCTGTTAAAAAAAAAAAAAAAAAAAAAAATCTAAACATCGAAGTTTTAAAGGCATAAACCTTAACAAATTACACTACATGACAACAAACTGATTTTATAAATTACAAGGCATACAATTTATCACAAATTTAAATCACTTAGCTAAAACTACTTGCAGGATCGTAAACACTGTTTGTGTCAAAGTGAGCAGCAGAAGTATAATAGCAGCAACAGTTCCGGTCCCTCTCCAGGGATTGCTGAAATAAACCCTTTTCAAAGTAGACAAGGCATGGTTCCAACTATTGTTGTAGTGCTCTGTCAGATCCTTATAAATAGAGTGGTAATAAGAAGATTGACTGGGGGGAATTTGTAGCCGAAATTTATTAAACATGTTGGCTATCACAGCATTGTCGCCCGAAGGATTGTAAATAATTTTCTTTTCGACTAGTAAATCGACATCTTCTTCGGTATTGATAAGAGAATCCATGAGGTCAATATAACTGCATATATACGTTTCGAACGGGTAATTACACTGCTCCAAGATCATTAGATTACGGATCAAACATTCCATGTTGTCAGTTATCGTAATGCGCGGAATTTTCAGCTCAACAACGTTATAGAATGACAATAGTCGTCTTTTCTTTTCTAATTCTATGTCAACCAAATATTTATCTGCTGCTGAACTACGCTTAAACTTCACTCCTGACTTTTTCAACTTGACTGCGTTAGGTAAACCATACGTAATTGCTCTAAACTTGGGATCCCCAGGAATTTTCACTAGACCATATCTACACAAATCAGTGAAATGTTGAATTTTGACCGCCGGTTCCTTCCGAAGTAGTCTGTTGTGCGAGATATGGTGTTGAAAGAACAAACAAGAGAGTTAAGAAAGGGAATAAGGAAATCAGAAACTTCATTCTTTTGTGGTTGAGCTGAAGGCTAAGTTGTACAAATCCTCAAGCACAAAATATGGAAGCTGGTTTTCGAGTAATTGTAAGTCCCGTCTTATGGCCCCAACCCATACCTCATTTAGCAAAAAATCTCTGCTACCTCTGTACCAAACTATCAAGAAGGGCTCAATGATGAAGACGGTATCAAATAGAATGATTTTTACAAACTTGTCACTCGGAAACTCGCTGGGCTCAGCATACTGACGGCGGATCTTTTCTACGTTCTTTATGATAAAGTTCTCGAGTTGCTTCTGTCCATCCCGTGTGATTCGTTCATAAAAAGCTTTCATATATCTTATTCTATGCTTTTCCATGTCAGCCAGCTCTATTTTGCCGTAGTGGTAAGGGCCTATTGAAATTAATTGAGGAGTGTAGGCTTCTTCATTTACTTTTCGTAAATGTCTAGGAACCTTGGGAATACAGAACTCTCTATCCTCCTCAATATCAATTGAAAGCTCACGAACTCCTTCACCTCTACCATCTGCTAATTTTTTTACCATGACGTTACGTCTCCTCCTGTTGATTAACAAATATTCAATCACCTTTCAGAACAAATTTTGTATTAACACCATTAATATTTTTAACCCATATATTAAAAAGTATGTTATCGACAAATTCAAATCAGCTATATAAATCTATTTAATCTGATTAATAAACCAAATTCTAACTTCAAATTTAAAGTTAAAATAATGAAGACACATAACCTATGAGGTAAAACATTTATATAAAAGGATCAACAATCATGTCAATATCAAAATTCATTTTAGAAAAGAACCTGATGAATATTTTTGTCGGAAAGAAAAAATTGTATTTATATATAGTACTTAAGAGTTGAGAACAAGATTTTCTCCTCCTGCTTCCTCGAATGCCACACAGATTCATCACTTTTGTGTTTTATCTTAATTAATCACTGTTATACATACTAATAAATCTTAATTAGCACTTTAATATAGTAAATTATTTCATGAAAAAAGATTAAAAAATAAATTTAGTAAAGCAAAGCTGTATAAGAACCTGAATATTGTCGTCCGGAAAAAGAAGTTGAGTTCTCCAGCTAATTATACTCTCAATTCTTTTTTCTTCTCCTGCTCATACTTATAGGTAAAATTCCCAGTAACGCATTAATTAGAGATACGGCATTATTATCTCTTGTGAAGACTTGTATATAACATAAACACTAAAGAAATGGAAAGGGTAGTAGTTGAAGTGTTGAAAAAGTCCAAGTCAATAAGATGTGGCCATAATGGCGATCGAGACTGCGACATATCAAAAATAAAAATAAAAATAGTAAAATATTAAGGAAATCAAGTGGATATAAATAATTGAAGTGTAATTAAAGAACTATAGTGGAATTTAATTAAAAAAAAATTTACGTTCATAGTCAGAAAGTATTTGCATCAATCAATAAGATACTGTCTATAGGCGCAATCATAATTCCACACAAAACACACTGATTTAAGAAATTTGTATTTTTGATATATTTCCCTTATAAGAAGATCATTTTTGACATTGTAATGTCTTTTTGAAAAACTTGTATGATATATATATTTCAATTTGACCCTTATTTTATCTTTTATTTGAGCCGGATCTATTCTCCCAATGCCCTAACGAGGCTGGATCTAGCCTTGTACGGCTGTCAGGAGGCTAGAGATAGCCTCTAATGGCAGCCATGAGGCTGTTTTTGGCTTCTAGTAGTTGCAACGAGGCCATTCTCCAAGAATGCCCTCGCTTGGTTGCCGTGAGGCTGGAACAGCCTGAAGCTGTAGCCGTGATGCCCAAAATGGCTACTTGCGGCCCCAGCGAGGCCAAACCCGGCCTCTAGCGGCCGTGATTGGTTGGTGTTAATCGGACCGACTATGGATTATGTTCAAGTTTAAAGAATAAACGGGTGTTTTATGTTTATGCAAAACTTTTGAGTGTGCACTGTAATTTTACCCAAACCATATTAACGAGTATCACAAATTAAATTCCCATTATTTTGTCTCAACGACTAGGGGCGGCTTGAATGGTTCCAACAAAATTATTGTAATGTCGTATCATTTCCACTTGATAAGAAATAAAGTTGTGTTGGTTCAGAGAAATTATTGCTCAATCATTGACTGACCGCTCATTTTCCATTTGATAAGACATTAGGAGAAGAATGAGTCATAAAGATGTTTGTAACCACGAACCAGGAAGAAAATTTTCCGTGTGTGACAAATATATCACTTAACTTATTGACCTAACCTAAAATTGACTTCGGGAGACTTGGTTTAGCCGCTGATAGAAGCTTTGCAACGTCAAAGTCTTCATATTTTCAATCCACACTAATATTTTACTGTGTGCATCGTGATTCACTTTATTTGGTTTAGTAACAAAAGTGAAACATAACAGTACTTGTTGATACAGAAATCTACACCAATTATCACTTTATTTGGTTTAGTAATAAAAGTGAAACGTAACAGTACTTGTTGATACAGAAATCTGCACCAACTAGAGTGATTCGATTGATCTTGGTGGGATCAGAACTGGTGTATACTTGATTACGGATAACCAACAGTGAATGAATAATAAATGCAATAAAGTAAATAGCAAACAGATTTTTAAAGTGGTTCAGTGAGTTGAACTCTTGAGCCTACGTCTACTATTTTTTGTATTTGCTATGAGAGCTTACAATGATAATCCTAAAAATGTTTTCTAACCCCTTGCTCATCATTGGAGGTGTTTTATATACAGAGTTTGTACAAAGGAAATAGTGAAAATAAATGGATTACAATTGAATTGAAATGCAACTCCGATATTCTTGCGATTGGACGCTGTGATTGTGTAAAGATTGATGTCAATCTGATCCTTCCTGAGATATCTGGGATCTGAAGTTATCTAGGAATTAGTTGAACGACCGCAAGGATTGGTCATGACTAGCTTATGCTAGGTCAAGCTATAGCTTAACGAGCTTATATTGGGTTGAACAATCGATAAAGTCGAGCTGGTTATGGATTGGGCTGTAACCTCACGATACTCTATGCTTGATGAAAAAATCACACACAACATCTGCCCCCTAGTGTTCGATACTCGTTGCGAGCTTCGAAGACTATTGCTCGATTTGACATCAAGCTTAGCATCATCAATAAGGCATTAGATGTAGATTCGATCGAGCTTGAAGGGTCGAACTCATGCCCGATCGATGTACTCCACACTTACATCTTCTCTTTTCTATGACACTCTTGACAAGCTCGGAAAATGAATAGTAAGGACAATTATGTAAATTCCACGCATTAATGTCACATTTAATGCAGTAGCCTTTGATAGTTACTTTTCGTCGCGCGTGGGCGACTACAGCTGTCTACGCGCAGAGTTGAGGTGATGTGCGACGACGGTTCTGATCACAGCAGTCTGGCGGTTCGTCGCCCCTCACGGATGGTTGACATGTGGTCACGTCCAAAGGCCAAGATCGCTCGATGAATGGAAGGTCGAGATTCACTATAGATCGACAACTACAATTGAACCTCGCCCTTTCGTCTCCTATGCAAACCACTATAAAAGTGGGCAAACTTGTTAGAAGCTTACTCATCTTGCGAAAATTCTCAAACGTCTTTGCTTATTCTTTCGTTGCTTCGTCGTCGTTATGGTGCTCTTTCTGGCGAGTTCTTCCAATTCTTTTGTTCTGGTAAGGTTTCTTTTCCCTCTCTTTAGTTGTTTTCTTGATTTTCGTAGCTATGGATAGCCATTGTCATGGCCACATTAAGTCTTTTAGGGCTTTACTAGGGGTTTTAAGTGTGTCCGCAGCGATCCTGGGTTTAAGGAGGGTTTATTGTGGTGGCCGTAAGAATCCTCGGTAGGTCATATGTATTTGTCGTCTAGCGCGAGCTATCTTGGGTGCCTGAACTGAAAGCAAAGTGTGGATAGGTCACCGAGTTTTTCGTGCTCTGACATATGTTCGGTTCTGTTTCAAGTACCCAAAAGTGAGCTATAGTCATGTCTTTGTCCAACAGCCACACGATTGATTGCATGTTTAACTCTCCCGTGGGCTCAGTAATCCTTGGGGGCATAATCCCCGAGGTTTCTGAGGAGGTCGTCATGTAGAGCTTGGATCTTGACACGGCGGGCTTGTCTTATTGCGCCTCTGTGAAGTTGGCTTAGTCCAAGTGGCCTCCAGCCTAGAGGTTATAGAGGGAACCACAACCCTTAATTGATATCGAGGATCTAAGACGCATACGGGAGGCTTATGCGCCTCAACTCAACTTGAGTGTTCCGGGGAACCTTTCTCAGAAGAATCCCCCCACAGGATGGGTGGCGACCTCTAAGACCTTTTTGAGTAGTGGGATGTCTATTCCCCCTCATCATTTCATTGACAGCATTTTGAGATGATTCAACATCGTTCCTCTCCAATTGTCCCTAAACTCATACGTCATAATCATAGTTTTGTATATAACATACATGATTGCCGAGCTGGGTGAGCCATCTGTTGAGGAGCTTGTTCATTTGTATAGATTAAAGAAGGGTCAAGACTAGCGTATTACCTCTCCAAGGTGAGGAAAGTACTTTTTAATGGGTTGGTCAACGTACAAAGAAGGTCTCGTATTGGGACTCTCAAATTTTCTTTTACGAGGCTAGGGATACTAACGTCTTTGCCTCGGAAGCTACTAAGATTTTGACCCCCAACGTGTGTGAGGATCGTTTTCAAGCTTGATGGTTAAGCTAACCAAGCTTCTTTCTTTTGCAGTTAACGTCGAGTACAATTTTCTCCCCATTGCGAGCTTATAGAGGCTTCAATGCTTCAGCGACCTTTTTGAAAAGGAGCGCAACATTAACAACATTATCTCGCTTCCTCGCTTGAGGACATATGACTTTTGCAAGGACAACACCAAATTCCTTACCATTCTCAAGAATGGTAAATGTTCGCTTGCTGGCGCTTCTTCCTTTTGTGTGGGCAGATCGCTTATTGCTTGCTTCTCTTTTTGCAGAAATGTGGGTCGAGAAACCGAAAGGCCTTAAGAAAAAGTGGCAAACATTCGTGACTGCCAAGAAACATCTGGTTGCTTCAACGACAAAGTAGCCCACTAATGCCACTGGCCTGAAGCAAAGTAGGGGCAAACTTGGGGAAGACCCAAGTGCAAAAAAGCCCACGACTGCCTCGAAGGCAGTTAGCGGGAAAGATGCCCTCGAGCCCCAAAAGGAGCTAGCGAAGAAAATACCTGAGCCGACTAGAGGCTCGGGGAAACAGAAGGCACCTGAGTAACATGATAGCTCGAGCAAGAAGAAGTCGATTGAGCTTTAGGGGGGCTCAGAAAAGCAAAAGATGGCTGAGTAGTAGGTCGGCTCAAGTAAGGAAGTC